AATGAGAGGAGAATTTAAACTCAACTTAGAAATCCAAGAAAGATTAAGATACTTAAAGATTTGGATAAAGAGAAAATATTATTTTATTAATTTTTTTACTTTTTTATTATTTCAATTATCTTAAGATAAGACTCAATTATTTAAATATTTTTGTATTTATTTTCTAGTTAAAATAAGTTTAAGAGTTTGGATAAGAATTTTAATTTCTATTCCGATTATAGTTAGACAAAGAAGCCTATATAAAGGCTTAAGTTCTTAGTTTGAAAACACAACTTTGAGATTAATAAATTTTGAAGCTTTTGCTTTTTTAAGAATTAGCTTTGGTTAATTTTCTTAGTGTCTTCAAGTTCTTCAAAGTTAGAGAGATTTCTAAAGTTTTGTTGAGTTAAAGAGTTGGGATCGACTTATTGAGTAAGCTATGACATCTTTCTTTTCCTCATTTATTTCCCTATTCCTTTTTATGCATGTCATATAGGTGTGTGTAGATTCAAGTAGAGGGAGTTAATTAGGCAGTTAAGTTTCTAAATTGCATGCATTGGTTGAGGTTCTGAGAGTCAAAACGATCCTCTCCATACCCTTCCGCATCACATAGCATTATTTATTTTTAGGTAAAATGTGCAACTTTGTTGTTCTTTAAACAAAAAAGTCTTCTATTTTATAAATGATTTAGTTTGCTGTGTCATTTTTCTGTTGATATATTCATAATTAGAACAACATGATTATGAACAATAGAATTATTTTCAGGTACACTTGTTACTTTTCAGAATATACAAGTCCTTAAATTTCTTACCCCATGCCAATCATCCTCTTGTTGGAGTCTTGAATCAAGTAACAATCAGGAAAGAACATGATAATTAAGGGCGAAACAACTATGAAACTTGCCACATAAAGTAAATTATATATGAATTATGGAATGAACAAGATATTTTTTTAGTATCAAATGACCATTAATGCATCCCCAAATAACCCCACTAAAGCATTTGTATTATTTGGGAAAATAATAAAGAATTATTGATACGCTTGAGAAACATAAATTCAACACATTAAAACATATGTGCCTATCTGCTCCAAAGTTCACTATCTAAGTTTATATATAGTTCAAGGCCAAATTTAATAAAATAGACAA